AAACAGGTGTCAGCGGCCCAGCGCTGCAATAGAAGCTTTCGGTGACTTTGCAGCATCGTAAATGAATATTCTTCAAGCAAACAAATATTCATTCTTGTCACATTGGGGAAGCGAAGGACTCATAGACTGCATTTTGTTGTGAGTTGTGTATGTCGGCTGTGAGCCAGTTCACGTTCCGAGGGCGTCACTACCCTGTTTCGGCAGATACCGCGGTCGGCTTACCTTTTACCGCTTTGTCCCTTTCTCCTTGCTCTGTCCTCTTGGACACGGTAAGTTGCGGAATATTTGGTTGGGCCTTGCTTCGCTACCATGCTGCCTCGCTTTGGAGAATATATTGTCTTCAGGCCCCCTGGAGGTTCTAGACAGTCCTGAGATGACCGGAGCCTGTAGAGCTTTAGCTTCAAGGAGCAAGTAAGGATACTGTCCCCTTCAGCTACGTAGGGCAAATGACTTTCGGGGCATTTATATCGCTGACAATCGGTGTTTCCAGCTTCTCTCCGCCATCTTACCTCACGTCGAGCGCATCTCCGAGAACATTACTCTACTTTCACAATTCCTGCCCTGTCAAAATACGGAATACTTCATCATGCCCGACATGTCGGCCCGTGCCTATTATGCCTCTTTCACGGCCGAACTGCTACCACCCAAAGCAGGCTGTCGGGATATGCCGCATTCGAAACGATGTCACTATCGGCGAGACCCTAAATGTTGAATGGCCGAGGACATTTTCTCCTGAGCCAAGGCTATGGCAGGGAGGACGATGATCGCAGGGAGATCATGAAGCAGTAACAACGCCTCCATCTGTGCCTAGCGCTGCTACGATGTCTCCGACGATCAGGTGGGGGAACCTCAACACATGCAGGTACCTTGCCTTTCGCTTCTGAGCACAACGCAAAAACCTAGGACGGTTGATTGTCAAGTTAAGGCTGATGCAGCTGGTGAGAGAAGGTCGATAACATTAAAGTGGCTTTCGGTTCTGCTGTCTTTCCTCTGACGACTGCTTCCCCAGGCTCCTCGTGTGTCCTCTGTTTATAAGCAAACTTAAGCAGACTCCTAGTGGTCACTCTGGCCTCTCAAACGCATGGAGTCAGGCACACAAATTAACGAACCAATGGCCTTCTTTCGTGGAAGTTAACGCAAAAGGTATGTCAGTCGCCTTATCCGACTGTTCGACTTCCGTAGAATCGAAGCAGAACATCATCAACATGTCAAAGCGAAAGAACGAGCTGTCATTGAATGGAGATGGCAAAAGGACGAAGAACTCCACACCCGACTCTGACCACAATGCTTAAGTATGACTCCACGCCCGAGGCGGAAGCTGACTCGTCTGGGACTTATCGCTTTTGTAGACTCTGAGCGCGCAACGGTTTAGTGTGGGTTCCGGTTCTCATACGGTGAAAAATTGATAAGTAGACATAGGCGAAGTGTCGGTATCGTGGACCTTTCATTCTTTCATTCTTATCAAGTCATACTCTTTCCACCTATGATCATGCGTCTTCATAGCTCTTGAGGCTCGAGGTAGGTGGAGCACCCCCGGCGTCCGATATACTAAACGTTAGTTGTAGTAATTTGAACGTGAACATTCGCGGCCGCTGTCAAATCGCCTGATGAGCTTCCGTAGTTTTAGTTTCTCTTTATGTTCTAAGTAAAATTGATCAGCGCTAGGTTACTAGTGGGTTTTCAGCGCTCGATTACCTTGCCGCTTGTCTCTAGACCGGGCGTACGCATCTTCCCGTTTGTATTGAACAGCAATAGTTACTAATTATTATTATTTTAGAAAGGATGCCAAGATTTATGCGGCTTCCACACTAGTCACCTTCCCCACACTGGCCAATTTGTCACGGTCCGGCTCAAGGTTCCCGTGGAGACTCTGAAGCATTGCCAGACTGTTATCATTCGACCAGGGTTCGGATAATGGCATGGATCGAAGTTCGTAATCTCAAAACGTTTAAGCGGGGGGATAAATGGGCTCAAGCTGACTCAAACCCCAGGTCACTTGCTTCTTGTTGAATGGACATACCATTGGAACCGTCGAAAGGTTCAGGAAAAAGGCTCTACCTGAGGTTTGGTCAGTAGTCACGTCGGATTCACTCCAGTTTATGCCGTCAACTTTTACAATGTGATCTTGTGGGCGGTGTAAATCCACCGTCGTCTCTCCCTTAGATTTTCAGGACTGGTCCCAGAGAGATTCTGTCATTTCCAGATTGTTCCCTGAAAAATGAAGAGCCGTCCTACTGAGGTTCGTTAGATCTTACTGCAAGGGAGGCCTAAACATGCGCCGCAGGGCTTGCTATCTGAACCTGTTGTAGCTTCCTATCAAGGGTCACATATCGCAACGTACTTTCTCTCAGGTAGATAGTTCTATGGTGGTGATGGCGACAGGAATGAGGCCGTTCGCTTACATTCATTCGCCATGCCAGTGACAAACGGCATGCGTTCGTCCTTGCTCATGGTCAGGGTCGCTGTGTGTTGCGGCAAGGAACAACTTGAGGCGATGAAAAAGGTATGGCTTCGCTTCCTCTCTGAAGAAATTGAATCTCACGATGTTGCATAGAATCGAAGGAAGGGGGCAACGTGCACGAAGGAGGGTGGTGATTGAAAAACGCGTTGCCTCGACGGACCTGAACTGCGGTCTCATATTCTGAGGCTTCCGTTGTGATTTGTGATTTGTGATCGACCTTGTAATTTTTCCATTCTTGACATTGGGCGATGATTCTTCAGGCTTGGATTCTGGGCACGCGAAGTGTTGAAGATTCCAGAGAAGAGCGATTCACTCTGAGAAATCATGGGTTACGCACTGACACCGCTAGGGCCTTATCTCAAATAAGATACAGGCAGTAGCACAAATAACCAATTCGCGCCATGTCAGACGACATGTTCGTGGCCCTCATATCCAGCTTCTTTCCTCCAAAGGAGACAAGTTAAGAGCGTCCAACTTCGATATCGTCCTTCAAAACTTACACCACGACACCTTCCAACATCCAGACTCCGCGAGCGACGCTCCGAATCAGGTCGTGGCCTGCCCAGCCCGGTATGATCGCTCATTGCAGAAGAAGGTGCTCACTTTCATCCTCGAAAGGCAGGTTGCTAAAGGGCGGGTATAGACCTTCGATGCGCCGTCCGACAAGATCCGAGGCCGCCTCGAGGTGGCTCTTCTCCCTCCGTACGTCGCCTTCTTAGTGCTGTCTATCTCACAAAACGACCACTGTTAGAGGACGTATGGTTCAACTTGATGCCGATGAATTGTGCCACTGTGGGTGTATGTAAATACCAGTCTAGTTAAGCATAGATGTTCTTGCGGGCCGTGCCTGTAAAGTTCTAAGATCCCCCCGGGTCCAGAATTGATTGGAAGGACCATTTAGAGCGAGCGAAACACCTAAAAGCTATTAATATCAAGCTGTAGTTTCAAGAAACATCTACTATGTTAATGGGGGAGACTCCCCGCAATCATGTTCTTTTGAGGGATGGATATTAAATAAACATACGTAGGACGACTCTTTACTGTTTCCCACTCAGTAACGCTCGCAGGTCACGGTGATTTAAATCACAGAAGACTGGATATGATCCTTAGATTGTATTCCTAGTATGTTCCGCGAAGAGTTAGGATTCAGATCCAGTGAATATAGATAGATACCGGAAATTCTCCAGCTCCGGAGCGCGAACATCAGCTTCCCCTCGTAGCGAAAGAATAGATTTGGTGAAACAAGTAGCAGGAGGGGACAATGGTACATCCATCAAGGGCCCCATGGCTCAGAATTAGGAAAGTGGAGTGGTACCCCAGAATCATCTCCGTTGAGCCGACCTTCCCACAACTCCCATAGTGTGGGAGTTGCTCTTGAGGAGCACAGACGAGGAGACATGGTTCAATACGAAAAGAACGTGACTATCGGAACACGAAGCCGCTGTCGATTTGAGTTACTGGCAGGAGCAGGCTTCATGGACTCATAGATAAATGATGATGGTGATGGTGGGAGAGAACGTGCGAATCAAAGACAGGCGGCTATCCGGGAGAGGCGGGAGGGGAGCAAAGATTTCACTGCCCTTGCGACAGAGGAAACATCACATCCGTAGCAATGGAACTCCTAGAGCCTTGGTGTGTGATTGGATGAATATTGGGAGTGTACACGGGTCGCTGCTTCGAGAGGCTCCGCATGCAGAAGATGGAAGCGGGTGAAATACCAGACTTCCTTATCATTATGAGGTTCGAGGATGATACAGTTGTTAGAACTATATTAATGGGTTACTGGACGGAAATGATGAACCGCTGTTCTTGAGAACGATGCATGACCATGAGGAACGACAGCGGCTTGACGATGAGAAAGTCATTACGAAAAATTTTCCGATAGCACATAAATCCGAGACCGTTCGAGGAGATAGCCGCCGTCGCGGGTATTACTCATTGAACTACGGTGGGAATGAGAAATGGAAGGCGAGGGTCTCATCGCCGCCATGGCGGTCCATTTTCATTTCATTCGAGTCGCGACGGGTATTTGCGACCCGATCGTCATAGTGGACATCAATCAGAAATTCTGAGGTACCATTGCGGGCCCGTGCCAGGTTTATGGAACAAGTATTATCCAAGGAGATATGGGCACGGAAAGAAGAGACGGAGACTACTTGAAGGCATATTCGCGGAGTCGAAATGTTAATGATCCCATGGCCTATGGCCTGGGTTAATGATCTAGGGATGAGTTGCTAGTCCTGAGTGACGTAGATCTTTCTAAAGTTCGGCACACGCATCTTCAAACTACAAATTCGAAAATTTGTGAGCCGCGAGGCGCTACCGGCGGGAAGTCCCAGGCCTAGGTTGCCGCTGACTATCTAGGGAGGATATATTGGTGTGGGAAACGGTTTCCACCAGATGAGAGAAACGAAGAGGCTGAGTATGATTTTACTGTTAGGATTCGAATTTGATGGTATTGGTTTGGGGCAGTCAACGGGATGAAGGACTGTATCCTAAAGCAGTAGCACGAATATAGTATATTCCCAAGCGACAAATGTCTCTGATAGTATATCGGTTAGTACACGCGCCTGTCATTGGGACGCGCGAAAGCTGGGTTCGACTCCCAGTCAGAGAGCTAATATGTAGAGACGTATATTTAGATACGCTAGTTTTTAAATTCCGTCCAACGGTCTTCGTCATTGATTTTTTGAGTTTGATCGGTTCACTCAGACTAGTAGGTGTACGTGTACTCTACGTTACAGGTATTGAAGGAATGGACGTCATCATCTGCCTCCGCTTGTTGCTTCTACGAATAACAAACTGCCTATCTCATTCTTCCGCAGGGTCGGTATGTTGAAGTCCTGAAAAGAGTCGGACATGACCGAAGGACAGAAGAAGCCGCTGAGTACATACTTGAGATCAGGTGGGAGAGATTTGGGACTTGTCACATCACACAAAAGGGAAGGCCTGAGAGCTGATGGAAAGGTCGTGCGAGTTTGCAAGTCTGGGCAGGCGCAGAGTCGCGGTGATACTTACTTACGTAGATGGTGACAGATCGCAAGGCGGCGATCAAGAAAGAACAAGGATAACTACCGTTTTGGGGTGCTTCGGTGCATGGATGTATGCGAAAGTATGAAAAGTAGTGTGTATAGGAAGGTAAATTGCCGGGTAGCGGGAGGGAGAAATCGAAAGATACGCGATTTTATCAGAAAGTGGAAAAAGAAAAGGGCTGGAAAATAAGGAAAAATAGGACAAATATGGGGTGAACAATCAGGGATAAAGTACGGCTATATCCGGGCGTAGATTGATTCACTTTTCTGAACCATCGGGGATTAGTTTCCCACATAGTTTATATAAACCACATTCGCTATGAATTCGACGTGCTTTTCGTTCTTGTCCATCCTTTGCCATGCCCACGCTCCTCTCCTTGCCCGTAGAGACAATTGACCTAATAGCATTCTACGTTGCCTGTCCGACTCGAGACGGCCTTCACAGTTCGCTGCTACCCTTTATTCTCACCTGCCGCGCCATTGGCATCTATCTCCATGAATCCAACGCCGTTTTTCGCCAAATATTCATTTTCAAGTACAGCTACGGCGCTGTCAGTCGTCGTGCATTTGAGTTGACGTCGCGGGATCTGAAGCACCAGCTGTGCTGGTATCGCAAGACGCTTCGGTTCATTCTCGAGCGACGGGGACTGGACGGGGAGCGCGAGCTGAGGAACACGTACGACGTTGATGTCTCCGACGTACTCTGGGTGATGTACTTTATGTGTCTCGACGACGATGGCTACAATCTGCGGCAGCTGACCGCGGTGGGCGCGTATGAGTGGATCCACGACTTTGTGACCCTGCGCTTGTATGACGGAGCAAACGAGAACGGCGGTTGGCCGCTCGACAACTGTGTGAATGCATTGGCATTATGGATCTTCTGGAGACTTTCTACAAAAGGTACGTCGTAGTTCTATGCCTGTTTGTGATGACCCCATGTTAAAGCTTATCCGTAGTACGGATGCTCTCCGACACAGACGAGACGTCCGACCGTATCATTCAATTGATTCTTCCTTTTGTTACCGTTCCATTTCGGTATGCGTCCGCCTTCGCACCACCGAACCATTTTGTTCTTCCTCTCCAGTCCAATACCTACGACTTTTCCAATCTACCATCTCGAATCCCTTTTCGCACTCGGTCCGCCCATTTCCTCTCTGTTCCTACTCCCCACGGCCCTTATCCAGTGTACCTTTCCCCTTCTCGTGTTTGGTCACAGGTTCATTTCTCACGGCGTATCAGCTTAACGTGTCCCCTTGTCACTACGGCTGCTAAGCTCCTGTTCTTCTCACGCAGGGAGCTGTATCCGTATGGCATGAACTACAGCCTTCCTAGGAACAGGTCAGAAGCCGTAGCTAGAGGCCTAAGCGGTCAGATTGGCCCGACGCAGGAGGATATCCATGAGATGAATCTGCACCGTCTTGGTGGCCCTGACGGCAAGTATGGGGGTACGAAGCTTCCGACGGTCGCTCTAGACTCCTCGGGCGAGGTGTCAGACATAAGCAAAGCCTACGATCCGGAGTGGTACAGACTTCGGCTCTGCAAGAATGCTTGGGCTGATGATCTTGGGGACGACGACGAGATCTGGCGGCGGGCCAAGTTGGGTAAAGGGATGAGAGTCAAGACTGCGGATCATGAGGTACGCGAGCTCAGATTTCGTCAAGCCGAGATGTACGTCTTGGGATCCCTCACCGGTTTGTGGGCCGGTCGTATGGCTGTAAGTTATTTCCCCAATTGCCTTAGATCATTCTTATCGAGTTCCCCGCTCCAGATACCTGGTGAACATCAGCTCCTGCAGCTCTTGATCCCAAACCAAAATAACGACCAACAAAATACCCCTCAAAATGACAATCCGGTACCGTTACCCCAGGGGTTTAGCGAAGATTACCTCGGGCTCATAAGCGCGCCTTTATATATGCACCTGCGGGAGCATGTATCTTATGCCGGCGGTGATATCGTTCCTACTGGTGCAAAGGGACTTGTACCTTCACGTTACGAGGATGCCGAAGAGGAAGAGGAAGACATGGACGAGGATGACGCGGATAGTCTCTGTGATGTGGAAGTAGCTAGTGAGAGCGAGCTGGAGGATTATGATATGCCCATCGACGAGGACCAAGACAGACCCGAGATCGACCGACAACATCTCCTTAACGAATTCGATCAAGGTATGCGCAACGCATATTTCCCCGAAGGCGTCACTTTCCGAGACACCGTTGACGGAAATGGTATACGAGTGACGGCTCGGGGGCAGGAATACGTGTACGAGAATTGGAATGGAAGCGAGTTGGAGTCGAAGACGAAGACAAAAGGGAGGTTTCATGACCGAGAGACATGCGTGGGTTGTGCGATGCGGGAGAAGCAGGAGAGGCAACGGCGGGAAGCTGGTGCTGATGCGGCAGAAAACGATGAGGATGCGTCTTTGGATAATGTCCCTCTTCCGCCGTGTACCGGTGTGCAGGATGTGATCATTACGGGAAAGACTGACGATAGGCATGGACAAGCGTGGAATCATTACACGTACTATGGCCGGGTTCGGCGGTGGGATGGAATGATTGGTATTCTTAGGGTCGCGGTGAATGCTCTCTTCTGTTTTCCATTTTGTGGGTTCTCATGTTGTGTGTTTCTTTTGCAGCACAACCGCCCCTTGGGGAACTTATTCTTCTATGGATATATTGTTGGCGGGAAGAATTTCGTTGGGAACTGGAGGATAACGCACGAAGACCCTGGCATGCCGGCTTGGGAGGGTCCGTTCACGCTCTCGAAGGTGACGGAGGGTAACGCTTGATCATGACACTAAATGAATTTGTTTTCGTTTTGGTGATATCTTGGAAAATGTATGTACTCGCATGTATTTTAGACTGGACTAGAGGTTGTATGGCATTGCATCTAATTAATTTAATAGTCACACATTTTGTATAATACGTATCATTTCGTGCGCATATTTAATGGCGATCTAGGGGACCAGATAAAGATATCATAAAGATCGACAATCCCTCTCAGTATTCGCATTCTTAGCACCAAGCGGCGACTTCGTCGACGGCGAACACAACTCCAATGTATTACAAGATCTCTACCCTTTACTCAACGGAGATATGATGCCGTGGCGGTGGCGCAGAATGGGAATCAAGCTCAGGCGAAATGGAAGAGAGTTATGTATAGATTCATGAAAGTACGGGAGGAGAGCGGCGACGTCGTGTAAACGTATTCAAGACATGAAACAGAGTGCAGGCAAACCACACACGTACCCCAATACCACCATATGTATGCGTGCCGAGAACTTCACCGCCCGATTCCCGACCTAGGTGTCGCTGAGCATGAAACTGTTTTCGCCTGATATGTGTCCCTCAATTCTAATGGAGTTTTCGCAAAGCATTGAATGGCCTAGTGAGAGTATGCTGATCCGGTCATGGACGTAAACTGTATGCAGTGGGCGCCACATTGGACCTGCAGGGTGACGCGACATCACGAAAGCGAACGAACACAGAATTTGATAAGTAATAGCTAGCACAACGCTGACGTCATATTCTACGTGACTCCCGGCCCTCAAGTCAGCCACCGTGACAGTGACCGTGACTTCACCAATGACAAACTGTACAGTTGGTCAGGTTTTTCCCAGGATAACCTTTTACCAGTACTGTGAGTGGGAGGCTCGCAAATTTTTATATCGTTCGTCTGCCTGACTTGGGTGTTTTTTCTTCTAGATGCAGATTTTCGTCAAGACCCTCACGGGTAAGACGATTACCCTCGAGGTTGAATCCTCGGACACCATCGACAATGTCAAGGCCAAGATTCAGGACAAGGAAGGGTAAGGGTTCTGTGCTGGAATGAGCAAGAGGGACGTTGTTAACTGATTCTTGGTGCTCTCAGTATTCCTCCTGACCAGCAACGTCTTATCTTTGCCGGCAAACAGCTCGAGGATGGCCGTACCCTGAGCGACTACAACATCCAGAAAGAGTCGACTCTCCACTTGGTCCTACGGTCCGTCTGTTTCCCCTCGTGTATGTATTGCGGCCTTGCTGATGAGTGTATGATATAGTCTCCGTGGTGGAATCATCGAGCCCTCGCTCAAGGTCTTGGCCTCAAAATACAACTGCGACAAGCAGATTTGTCGAAAGTGCTACGCACGGCTGCCCCCTCGTGCGACTAACTGCAGGAAGCGCTCCTGTGGCCACTCGTCGCAGCTTCGCCCGTCAGTGTTCTTTGGAGCCTTTTCTTTGCTGTGAGACTGATAGTATGCTGGGTATTTAGCAAGAAGAAACTGAAGTAGTCCATTCGCTTTGGGCGATTTGTGTTGGAAAGATCAGAGCGTGCAGAAGGTTGATGGGAATATGCTTTTGCAGAAATTATGCATATGCCGTTTGTATGCCAGTGTCTCGTCGAACATGTGCATTTCTTTCCTGGTGTGAAATTGTGAAGATGAAGATAGGCTGTTATCGGTAAGGAACTGACTACTGATCACGACACTGTCAGGGTTGGTATGTACATCTGTTGTACAGTTGGACATGTACTGATGTTCCTGTTCTGTAGCCCCTGCATAGTATCGCTCAAGGCCAGAAGCTGACTATTCTCGTGCGTTTGTAACTGTTAA